GAACTCCTACACACGCCTCAAAACCCGACCCAGATTACCCCTGCCTCTCCGGGAAGTTTCCTTGCCCAGAGATCGGCCTTTTCCCTCGGATCGCTCCCGGCGAACTCCTACGCGTGCCTCAAAACCCGGCCCCCATTACCCCTGCTCCTCTGGGAAGCTTCCATGCCCAGATTGGCCTTTCTCCTCGCAGCTCTCCCGGTGGACTCTTATGCATCCCTCAAAACCCGGCCCACATTACCACTGCCTCTCTGGGAAGCTTCATCTCTCGGTGAACTCCTACACATGCCTCAAAACCCGGCCTGAATTACCCCTACCTCTGGGAAGCTTCATTGCCCAGATTGGCCTTTTTCTCTCAAATCTGTTCCGGCAAACTCCTACGCGTCCCTCAAAACCCGGCCCACATGACCCCTGCCTGTCTGGGAAGCTTCCTCACCCAGATTGGGCTTTTCCCTCAGATCGCTCCCAACAAACTTGTACGCATCCCTCAAAACCCAACCCAAGTTACCCTGTCCCCCTGGGGAGCCCCCTTGCCCAGATTGGCCTTTCTCCTTGGGGCTCTCCCAGCGAACTCCTACGCACCCTTCAAAACCCGGCCCATATTACCCTGCCTCTCTGGGAAGCTGCCTCTCCCAGCGAACTCCTACACATGCCTCAAAACTCAGCCCAAGTTACCCTGCCCCTGGGGAGCTCCCTTGCCCAGATTGGCCTTTTCCCTCGGATCTCTCTTGGCAAACTCCTACACATCCGTCAAAACCCGTCCCAAATCATCCTGCCTCTCTGGGAAGCTCCCTGGCCCAGATTGCCTTTTGCCTCAGATCGCTCCCAACGAACTCCTACGCATGCCTCAAAACCCGGCCCAAATCAGCATTGCCTCTATGGGGAGCTCCCTTGCCCAGATTGGCCTTTTCCCTCCGATCGCTCCCGGTGAACTCGTACGCACCCCTCAAAACCCGGCCTGAATTACCCCTACCTCTGGGAAGCTTCAATGCCAGATTGGCCTTTTCCCTCAAATCTCTTCCTGGCAAACTCCTACACATCCCTCAAAACCCGGCCCACATCACCCTGCCTGTCTGGGAAGCTTCGTCTCCTGGCGAACTTGTACACATCCCTCAAAACCCAACCCAAATGACCCTGCCTCTGTGGGAAGCTTCCTCACCCAGATTGGCCTTTTCCCTCAAATCTCTTCCAGCGAACTCCTACGCATCCCTCAAAACCCAACCCAAATTACCCTGCCCCTGGGAACCTTCCTTGCCCAGATTTGCCTTGTCCCTCGGATCTCTCCCAACGAACTCCTATGCATCCTTCAAAACCCGGCCCGAATCACCCCCGCCCCCGTAGCTTAGGGGCCCGGCCCCAGTTTGTGAGCGAATCTCCAGCTCTTCCTCCTCCTCCTCGTCTACCTCGCTCCCCTCCCTCGGCCCCTCCCCCCGCACCCAGCGGAGCTCGCCCAGGGCTTCAGGGCCTCCCGGAGCGAGGCCGAGGCCTGTCCTCCAGCCTCAGTCTCCCCACCTGGGAAATGGGAAGGGAAGGGAGGACGCCGGTCCTCGTGCTGCGTGTACCTGCGGCGGGGGGGGGGGGCTGACCTCTGGGGCCGCGGCCCGGGTCGGTCTTTGTGTCTCTGTCTCTCTGTCTCTCCATGTGTCTGTCTCTCTCTGTCTCTCTGTTTCTCTCTCTGTCTCTCTGTCTCTCTGTCTCTCTCTGTATCTGTCTCTCTCTGTCTCTCTGTCTCTGTCTCTCCGCCCGTGTCTCTCAGGCGTCCTGTGTCAGCGCCGTGCGCCCCGCCCCACCCGCCCCTGTTCTAACCGGCCACCAACGGTCGCCCTGTCGGCCTTCGCGTCTCATTCTGTGTCGCCAAACGCTGCCACCGGGGGTCCCGGAAATACCATGGAGGACGCCCAGCTGCCCACCTGTCCCCCACCTGTCCCCACCTGTCCTCCCACCTGTCCGCCCACCTGTCCCCCCACCTGTCCGCCCACCTGTCCTCCCACCTGTCCGCCCACCTGTCCTCCCACCTGTCCCCCCACCTGTCCTCCCACCTGTCCTCCCACCTGTCCTCCCACCTGTCCTCCCACCTGTCCTCCCACCTGTCCACCCACCTGTCCTCCCACCTGCCCACCTGCCCGCGCCGTTAGCTGACGCTCTCTGCCCCTGCGTTACAGCCCGGCCCGCGGCCCCGCGCGGCAGGAGCGTTTCCGGGGCGCGCGTGGAGAAGCCCTCGCCGACCTGGACCCGCGCGGGCGGGCGGAGCTGCTCGGGGAGCTGCAGGTACAGCCCGCCATTGCTTCTGCCCGGATTGGCCTTTTTCCCAGCGGACTCCTACACATCCCTCAAAACCCGGCCCAAATTACCCCTGCCTCTCTGGGAAGCTCCCTTGCCCAGATTGGCCTTTTCCCTCTTATTTCTCCCTGCAAACTCCTACACATCCCTCAAAACCCGGCCCGAATCACCCCTGCCTGTCTGGGAAGCTCCCTTGCCCAGATTGGCCTTTTCCCTCCAGTTTCTCCCGGCGGACTCCTACACGTCCCTCAAAACCCGGCCCCCCACCACGGGCTGGAGCCCCCGGGAGGGCAGGGGGTTCCGTGTCCGTCCCGTGTAACCCCGTGACCTTGGGGGGCCAGGGCCTGAGAACAAGGTCGCTTTCTCCCCCCCCCACGAAGGTTTCCATGGTGACGGGCGCTAGGCAGAGGGTGGCCCCGCGGGAGGGAGGCTCAGCCTCCCCCAGCGGCCTCGGAGATGCTCAAGGTGGGGACTCGGGGCTGGGCGGCCTCTTTTATTTTTATTTTGAGGCCGAGTCTCACTCTGTCGCCCGGGCTGGAGTGAGCGCCGTGGCGTCAGCCTCACTCACGGCAGCCTCCAACTCCTGGCCTCCACCGAGCCTCCCGCCTCGGCCTCCCTCCCGAGTAGCTGGGACTACAGGCATGCACCACCACGCCCAGCTCGTTTTTTTTCTATATATATATATTAGTTGGCGGGAGGTGGAGGCCAGGGCTGGAGGCTGAGGACCCTCGTCCTCTGCTGCCCGCAGGTGACCCTGCGCAGGGACCCCGTGCGGAGGGACTTTGGCTTCCGCGTCTCGGACGGGCTCCTGCGGGCCGGGGTCCACGTCCACACCCTGCGGCCCTCGGACAGCGTCCTCCAGGTGAGGCCGGGCGTGGGCGGCCTCCAGTCTGGCCGCAAGGGAGGCTGGGAGATAAAGGAGTCTAGCTGCAAGGAATCCTGGGAGATAGACGAGTCTAGCTGCAAGGGATCCTGGGAGATAGAGGAGCCTAGCTGCAAGGGATCCTGGGAGATAGAGGAGTCTAGCCGCAAGGGAGGCTGGGAGATAGAGGAGTCTGGCCGCGAGGGATCCTGGGAGATAGAGGAGTCTAGCTGCAAGGGAAGCTGGGAGATAGAGGAGTCTGGCCGCAAGGGATCCTGGGAGATAGAGGAGTCTAGCCGCAAGGGAGGCTGGGAGATAGAGGAGCCCAGCTGCAAGGGATCCTGGGAGATAGAGGAGTCCGGCCGCAAGGGATCCTGGGAGATAGAGGAGTCCGGCCGCGAGGGATCCTGGGAAATAGAATAACCCAGCTGCAAGGGATCCTGGGAGATAGACCAGCCTGGCCGCAAGGGATCCTGGGAAACAGAATAACCCAGCTGCAAGCGAGCCTGGGAGATAGACAGGCATGGCTGCAAGGGATCATGGGAGATAGGCACGGCTGCAAGGGATCCTGGGAAATAGAATAACCCAGCTGCAAGGGATCCTGGGAGATAGACCGGCCCAGCTGCAAGGGATCCTGGGAAATAGAATAACCCAGCTGCAAGGGATCCTGGGAGATAGACCAGCCCAGCTGCAAGGGATCCTGGGAGGTAGACCAGCCCGGCCCCAAGGGATCCTGGGAAATAGAATAACCCAGGTACAAAGGATCCTGGGAGATAGACCAGCCCAGCTGCAAGGGACCCTGGGAGATAGACCAGCCCCACATCTTGTTAGTCCGTGACCCTATTTCCCCCCCGCGCCGAGCTCGGCGCCTCCTCCTCCCTGGGCCTCCCTCTGCCCCCCAGGTCGGCGGCGTCCGCGCCCGGGACTCCGACTGCCGTCTGGCCGCCTCGCTGCAGGAGGAGGCCGGGGAGGCCGCGGGCCTCGTCCTCAGCCGCGACCCACCGGCCCCGGGCAGCCACCCCCGCCCAGCGCCAGGCCCCGGCCGGACCCGGATGCTGTGAGGCCCGCTCCTCGGCCCGGACGCCGCTGCTCAGCTGGGTCTCCAAGCTTTCCGGGGAGGAGTGAGCTCCCCGTCGCCGGAGGTAACCAAGCGGATTTCCAGCACAATCCGGGGTCCGGGTGCGAGGTGACGCCTATAAACGGAAGCCCCGGCTCCCCTGCTGCCTCCGTTTCCAGCTTTGGGGCTCGAATGAGATTTCCGAGGAGGAGTGAGCTCCCCGTCGCCGGAGGTAACCAAGCCAATTCCCAGCACGATCCTGGGTCCAGGTGCGAGGTGACGCCTATAAACAGAAGACCCGGCTCTCCTGCTGCCTCCATTTCCAGCCATGGGGCTCAAACGAGCTTTCCAAGGAGTGAGCTCCCCGTCGCCGGAGGTAACCAAGCGGATTTCCAACACCGTCCGGGGTCCGGGTGCGAGGTGGTGCCTATAAACGGAAGTCCCGGCTCTCCTGCTGCCTCCATTTCCAGCTATGGAGCCGGAACGAGCTTTCCGGGGAGGAGTGAGCTCCCCGTCGCTGGAGGTAACCAAGCGGACTCCCAACACGATCCGGGGTCCGGGTGCGAGGTGACGCCTATAAACAGAAGACCTGGCTCTCCTGCTGCCTCCATTTCCAGCCATGGGGCTCAAACGAGTTTTCCAAGGAGAAGTGAGCTCCCCGTCGCCGGAGGTAACCAAGCGCATTCCCAGCACGATCCGGGGTCCGGGTGCGAGGTGTTGCCCAAAAATGGAAGACCCGGCTCTCCTGCTGCCTCCGTTTCCAGCTTTGGGGCTCGAACGAGCTTTCCGAGGAGAAGTGAGCTCCCCGTCGCCGGAGGTAACCAAGCGCATTTCCGGCATGATCCGGGGTCCGGGTGCGAGGTGAAGCCCAAAACGGGAAGACCCGGCTCTCCTGCCGCCTCTATTTCCAGCAATGGAGCCAGAACGAACTTTCCGAGGAGGAGTGAGCTCCCCGTCGCCGGAGGTAACCAAGCCGATTCTCAACACGATCCGGGGTCTGGGTGCGAGGTGGCTCCCAAAAACGGAAGTCCGGCTCTCCTGCCGCCTCCATTTCCAGCCATGGAGCCAGAACGAACTTTCTGGGGAGGAATGAGCTCCCCGTCGCCGGAGGTAACCAAGCGGATTTCCAACACCGTCCGGGGTCCGGGTGCGAGGTGATGCCTATAAACGGAAGACCTGGCTCTCCTGCCGCCTCCATTTCCAGCAATGGAGCCAGAACGAACTTTCTGGGGAGGAATGAGCTCCCCGTTGCCGGAGGTAACCAAGCGGATTTCTAACACGATCCGGGGTCCGGGTGCGAGGTGGCGCCTATAAACGGAAGACCCGGCTCTCCTGCTGCCTCCATTTCCAGCTTTGGGGCTCAAACAAGCTTTCCGAGGAGGAGTGAGC